TCGGGTATGGTGTGAAGCTAATGGTGAGAAACCATTTAGTAGTAATATATTAGGTAAAAAATTTACACAGATTGGCATTGAATACAAACGGGCAGGTAGCGGAAAGAGAGAGTGGCAATATATCCTTGATCGATTCAAAATTGTGGATAAGATATGTGAATCAGTAGGTGATATCGAGGAATTTACAGATGCACCTCAAACTGAGACATCCACTAACGCATCCATAGATATTCCTGTATTCAATATTCCAGAAATCATAACCCCCGAACCAGAAAAAAAGATAACCAAATCATCAACCACCGATTACATCAAAAAAGGTAAGGATACATCACCTATTTCACCAGTTATTAACATGACCCAGGAACTCTTCGATTCAATAATAGATCAACCAGAAAGTTCAGTTGCTTCGTCATCCAAGTCTGCTGATATATCTATGACTCCCGAGATCGAATATGTAGAATCTGTGGACGATAAAGTTGAACCATCTTTCGAGATTATTGAAACAGTGAATGATGAGCCTGTCCTACCTGTAAATAATGAACTCGAATCATCTCTCAAGTCCAGTAATGAAGAAGCTACCACTCGAGTGGAAACGTTAACTTCCACATATCCAGCCAGGAAGCAACGAGAGGCTCGTCTTCGTGAAAAAGCTATCAAACTTGGCGAGGATCTAGAGAAGTTTATGATTATAACTGAGAAAGATAAACTCGATTCGATAGTATTTAAGGATAAGATGCAGACTAATGCAAGGATGTGTGATTATGCGAAGGAAGGTGATGAAGACCCCAAAGAATATATACTCATGAAAGTATGTGATAGATTAATAGGAGAAAAAATAATTCGTCGTTATGATGAAGAACACGGAATTGCCTCATCATGGCTCGATATCGACGAGGAATGGAAAAAAACTGTTAACATACTTCAAGAAAATGGTATGTTATGGTAAGTTACATGTATATAAAATAAGGAACGAATAAGGTGAATTTTGCAGGTAGGAGCTTTGGTATAGGGAGATTTTTTGCTCTCTACGGATAGGCAATATAAAAATTTGGATAAAAAATTATTCCAGTATATGAAGTGTACTTCTTTGAAGAAATATCTCATTCCGCATCCAAAGTATAATCTTTAGTATCTTGCTGTCACTTCAAAAAAGCCTGTACATCTTCTAACATTTTCCTACTGGCATTTTCAATCCGCTCCCTATTATAGGGTATTTTTAATAATTTACGAAGATCTTTGAGAGATAATTTTCTGTAATCGTCAACTAATATAACAGGCCCTCGAATTGGTGGTAAATCATCCCGTCCCATTCGTTAATATATAAGACGAGTCGCTAATGGATTCTGAGATAAAGATTTAGCATAAGCGTCATCATCATATAATATAGCAAGATCATAATTGTCCAAGTCGCAATGGTAATATGCCAACTATTGGTACATTCTAGTAGGCAACAGATTTCTCCATTAGTGGTATTAATTCTTTTCACTTCTGGAGGACCACTTACAGGAATATATATTCCTTGATATATTGTCATGATAAATCGATTCAATAAATTTTAAGTAATATATTATCCCAACTTTAATTTTAAATATGAAAGTGTATATAGAATAATAGTACAGCTGAAATG